AATTACTCAGAGCCATTGAGAGCATATGAAATTATATTTGGCAGAAGTGCTTCAGTACCACTGAGCATGATGTCACTAGCCAAACATGATACCCACATTTCTTGTGTGAACCACACAGTACAGTTTTCTTCCTCTTATTGTAAAGGAAATTGCTGCTTGCCCATCAACACTCCATCTGCACAGTCCATGTCACTTTGAAGCCCCCAAGAGGGTGACTGCAGCCAACTAGCCTCCCATCTTCCTTCTTGCAAAGTGCATGGACTTTCAAGAATTTTTGAACCAAAGGTGGCTGACTGACTCCATCCGCACCTTTGGATTTGTCATAGATTTGGCCTTAGGGGCATCAATTCCTACCTGGAAATTTAATCCTGTGTCTACCAAAGAGTTGGCCATATTGCGCTAATTTTTAGATAGCAAACTAAAGTACACTTATATTTGTCCCTCCAACTCCCTGGCTGGTGTCCCTTCCCGGTTTGTGTAAAAGAAATCAGGAAACGTTCTATTTGTTCATGTTTACACAGCCCTAAACCAACACTCAGTTTCGAACAACTAGCCTTTCTCACTTGTCCCTGTATTGTTAGAAAGTCTGGGCAAGGTGCAGGCCTTCACCAAGCTGGTTCTGCAAGGAGTTTACAATTTAGTGAAGATACGTGAACAAAATAATGGAAAATGGCATTTTGCACCACATATGCTTTTGTTACCCAGAGCACCAGCATTACGCCTCCAAATGTATTTTCTTTAGTCAGATCCTTCAGCTCAACTGGTTTGGCTTCAAGGGAATAAACTTGCTAATTGACTGCAGACCCTAACCCTTTTCCTGCTGAAGAGAGAGGTGATGAGTTATCTGAGGCTGTTTCTGCGGAGGCTAGCCCTGCTTACTTAGGAGTAGAGATGCAGCCTATGATTACTTTTGAGTAAAGATACAGAGGCTTTCCCTGCTTACTTTTGAATAGGCTTACAATTGGTAAGAATGATATTTTAGTCACTTTCACTCTAATTTTGGCCATTCCTACATGCCCTTAGACCTTGCCTACAGATGGAATGTGATGCACAAGACATTTCCCAGGTAAGAATGTGGTCCTTGGACCAGCATTGCTACAGAGTAAATTTTTACAATAGTCTATGGCACTGACAACACTGTTAGACACATAGAGGTTATGTTAGTGATCTCCTGGCCTTGCAACCAGCTGCTTTTCCTATTACATTACAAATAGCGTTGGAAGCTGTCTGTAGCTTGCAAATCCACTTCTTAACTGGAGAGACTGGAGTATTCTAAGCTTATCTCAGAAGCACCAGTGCAAGCACAGGGCTTGTAACATAGCTGTCTGGATTTTGGTTACAGTTCGGAATTGCGCTGTTTTTCATAATCCTGTGGATCCAGGCTAGTATTACTGTAGAAACAAGATAGGTTGTACTGCATATGAAAGCTATATTGGCTCATGTTTCTATGATTCACTGGAAAATTTAGGTTAAAGCTGGGTAGGGAGACATTCTACAGATTGGTAGCCATCTCAGCAGTACACTGTAAGGGCTTCTGAATCTTCTAGTTGATGAACATTTTTCCATAAGCAAGCACTTTGTGTTTTCTGAGACCTCCTCGTCCAGTAGCTGTATTTTTGCAGACAGAGGATCAAGTCAAATATGATGAGATTCTGGATGGCACGAGAGTTCTTATTGCCCATGTGTACTGCATACTGAAGGGCAGTAGGTGATCGCTCTCACTTTGAAGCTTCCAGAAGCCACAGCTTTCTCTAACAGGCACAAACAGTTACTGTTCCTTCCCTGGCAGGAAACTGTATGTTATGTGTTTCTTTGTCATAGGTAATTTTCTGCCAGAGGCAGCTTCCGACACTTACTTTACTGCAATGTTATGATAAATAAATAAAAAGATCTCAGAGAAGGTGTAAAAACATAGCTACAAAATTGATGGCTATAGACTTGCACTGCAATCCTATGAGCACCTACTCAGTGGGGCTTATTGCCATGTAGATCTGTAAGGAATTGCAACCCCAGTGTTTTGATGAGACTCATGTGCTAGTAAATGAAATTGCCCACCTCCTTTTCCAGCACTAGCGTGACAACTTTCCACCATCGACCAGTTAGTATAAGTGCATAACAATTCTTTAATGAACTGGATGCTTATATTAATTAAATATTCTAGCTCATAATTCAACACACAAAGTACCAGGAGGGCAGCTTACACAGAAAGAAAGAATAAAAGCAGAATCAATATCAGATACACACAAGTTAGAAGACCAAGAGGATTTTACTTTTTCAATACCAGCTAGGAAGTTAAATGACACACGTAGAGTAAAAAGGGGTATTTCCTGGTGCTTTAATGATGTTACTGTAGATGGCAGAACAGCTTCTCCAGGAGAGTATTTCTCTGTTGGGATCACCCCCAAGCTGTCCTGGGTTCCTACATTTTTGCCACTGGTAATTTGTTCATTCTCCTCAAGCTGCCTGACAAGGGCAAATAGTACATAGAGTTTCCTGGTATAACTGTGAGTACACCAATGTAACTGATGTGTGAGTAGCACAAATTAAGGATTTAACTGAAAAGCTGGCATGCCAATGTAAATACTCCTAGTGTTTCAGCCCCATTATTCAGAGCTTTTCAAGTAAGACATCATAAACACCATGGTTAAATAAAAGGACGTAGTTTCAGATAGTCTTGCCAGCAGTAAGGATATCATAACTTCTTAATTCCATTACATTTTCTAGGCACAGAATTTTATGAAACCCTTTCTGAAACAGGCTCTCTTGAGACTTAAATGATTTAGAATAATTGTAAATATATAATCAAATCTTAGTGCAATCTCCATTTGAAGGATTAATTTGAAGTTATCTGTCACAGCATTCTAAGATTTTTCCCTATAAATGGATTTTTAAGAAGTGATTTATATACCAGTAACATAATCCTTTTAAAAATCCTCGTTTAAAAAAATTAGTTCTTATATCTCAATGGAATCTGAAAAAATTAAGGATATAAGAACATAAGAAGAGTTATGCTTAATCAGAACAAAGGCCTATCTAGCCCAGCATTGTTTTCCAACAGCTGTTTTCTGCTGGCTCTTAGCCGAATAGCACCTTCCTGCCTTTGTTCACTGGCTACTGGTACTGAAAGTTCTTCGTTGTGGTCTCTGTGCATCACACATATGGGTGCTGCGCCTGCTCAGTGACTTTTTTCGGGAAAATTTCTTAGCTATAACGGTTTTTGGTAGGAACTCTGCTCCCCCTCTCCCTAGTATAAATGGGTGGAGTTCCTGCTCTCTCAGCAGTCTGCTCTCAGCTGCTGTTCGCTGTGCCTCAGGCTCTCTCTTTACTGTTGTTTTTTCCCACAAAGTCTACTTTATTTGTCTTTACAACTTATCTCACAACATTATCCCTAATACTATTCCTCAATCCCTAGCCTCCAACCACAAAGAACCTTCCTCTCACTCCCCTTCCCTTCCTCCCTTCCCCTCACAAACTACCCCCTCATTAAAAAAATTAACACAAAATAAAGCCTTCTATCAAGGCTATGATGCATAAATGGCTTTTGCAAGTGGCCATTACTCAAGTTCTGCACCCCTCACCTCTGGAATCTGCTCACTAGGGAGGAGTGTTTTTCATAGTGGAATGTACTCCCCAGAGAGGTCTGCCTGGTGCCGACATTATATGCTTTTTGGCGCCAGGTCAAGACCTTTTTTATTTTTCTGTAATTTTAATGTTTAATATTTTAGCTATGTTTTATGCTCAGATGTGGATTATTTTGTATTATTTGGGTTTATATGAATTTATTGGATTTTGACTTGTAAGCTTTCCAGAGACCCAAATCTTATTGCACATGTGTAAAAATACCCAAACAAACAAACAAACAAACAAACGGTGTTCTTAGACATGTAAAGAAAGTAGATGTGAGCCTTCATCTGTATAAATAGCCTGAATAAGCAGCTGAGACTTCAGTGTTTTTGCTTTTTGATATTTTCCTGCATAGCTGACTTAATTGGTTCATTTATGCGTTCTATTTCACAGGATGAATTGCATAGAGTTGCCCCTGTCATCATGTCCCTGGTCAGCTCCGAACCCACCACTTAGCCATCAGTGAGCAGGCATTGGAGAAAATCTGCTCAGGAGAATCTTCTCTTTCTCCTGTGATTTGGAATTGGTATGATCAGAGTTAGAAATCACAGTTGGACTATATGTGTAGGCAGCAGGTTCTCCTCTTCAGATGTCCCCATAAATCTGCTAAGGGAACAAGGAGTACATATTTTTTCTCTTAAATGACCTAACAATCCAGACTAGGTGGTGAGAGAAGGCCATATACAACAAATCCGGAACAGTCTCACTTGATAAATGTTCCTGGTCTACTGGAGGAAGAGTTTTGTCCAGCCTGTCCCTTTTGTACAGATCCTGAGGGTGATTGTGCATGCAGAAGTGCACCAGCTTTTTCCGTCTCCATACTGGGAATTGGAATCGTACTTTGGACATAATTCCACCTCCAGCCTTCATGGTAACAGGAAATCTTATAACCTGCCCACTCCCTGCTGTGCAGGAGAATGTCTGGCCAAAAAGAAAGCAGTTGAGGGATGATTGTAGCTTCCCAGAAAGCCTCAACCAAACTGGTTACTCAGTAAGAATACCTTTGATTACATGATAAATCTGTAAGAACTTTGAAATGGTTTTTGTTTCTAGGCACAATGGAAAAACAATTGCAGGGCATTCCTGGTTGTGGCAACAAACTGGGGCCAAGAGGACTTCTTTATGCTTAACATCCCCGCTCCACTTTTTAAAGAATGTTCAACAAGGTATTAGTGAAATAAGCATAAATAATCTTTATACTATGTCAATGGCAATGTAAACTCTAGCTGAGTATGGCTCTTGTGATAGCTAGGGATCCATACCCCTTGGCTACCTCTGGAATTATAAAAAGGCTTTTCACTTCTAATATGGTCTGTTTCTCCACCTTCCAGGTACTTAGTCCTACTGTGGCAGACCTTCAGCAAAGATTATATGTCCTGTGCTTGACCCCTGACATTTTTCAAGTTGTATTTTGCCTGTGTCTAGCTTAATGTCCTTGTAAGTAACGTAGAAAAAATCTCTGTGATAATTTTTATCTTAACAGCTTTTTCAAGGTCTCGTTCAGCTTGTGGCAAGGGATTGTGTTAAACCTATGAGGTGGGCACTAAAGAGATGGAGGCTTCTGCACAGTGGCATCTGGGTTGTGGCATTACATTCTGAGGGAGATTCCACCTAATTTCTTTATTGAGAATTTTGTTAGTAAGACATAGTCTTTTTTTTTTTTTTTGAAGTACTTTTAGGGAACTGGTTTGATAAATTGATGATCTTACTGTATCTTATTTTTTAATTATTTGTTTGTATTACATGCTGTATATTTTAAATGTACGTTATTTTAATTTAGATATAAGCTGCTTTATAGATCTTTTGATGGGAAGGGAGACTATCTAAGGAACTGTTGACATTCCCATGGGTATGAATGCTGTGCAAATATTTGATTGTTCACCCATTTTTATTTGGCAGAAATCACTCTTAATCTTAAGTTTAATTTGGTTAGAGAGAGAATAGTTTATTGTGTGATTAGTTTCATGCATACCTTAAACTGACAAATGGTTTGTTAATCTTCCCAAGAAGGTGCCAGCTTAACTCACTGTAAACATATTTGCTTCTGCACATTCTCCAGTATCTTCTTAACTGGTTCTAAAAGTATTGTATATTTAATTTTCTGCTAAACAGCCACTTGTTTGACTGCATCAGAAAACTGCTTCAGGATTGGTGCTGTTGTGCAACAAATTTAACCTATGTAAACTGTGCACTTTATGTAAATAGTGAACACTTCTGTTCACTCTCTGTCACATACTGTCCCACACACACAATTTTCTGGCATTTCATTTGCAAACACAAGCATTAATTAATACATTTTATTTATTGCATATTTTGAGTATTTTAATGTAGGATACTTGAATTATAAGCAATGAGTTTTTGTTACATTATGTTTAATTTAAATATACTTTTTGACACTTAAATTCATTTAATAATGCCCCCCTTTGAAATACATTTAAACGTGAAAGGGAACACAAGAGCAAACATATTTGCTAAGTTAAATATGCCCTTCCTTCAGCCTTCTATCACAGCTCCTGGGCAGGATCCTATATAATAAGGTATATTATATTGATCTAGAATAGTGATCTTTAGTGTCATTCCAGTAAAATCTACCAGTGTTTCAGTTTTTTCTGGGGAACCCCATCATACCAGCAAATGTCATTGTCACTTACTCAAACACAAGATAATTTCTGTTAGTAATAGGATACTAACCCTTGTCTTCTAGATCAGTGTTTTTCAACCTTTTCTCAGCTGGGAACTGGCAAAAACAGGAAAACCACCTCAGGGACCACTGAGGCAGAAACAAACAACACCGTACACAGAATACAGTATACTGCATATTAGTTTCTAAACACAATATGAAGGGAAGGGAAGGGGAAATTCTCAAAACAACCAGAAATCAAAACCAAGCAACCCCCCCACCCCAAAAAAATAAAGCCAACAAAAGAGCAAAATACAGTGTGGCTCTCACCAAGCCATCTCTCCCCTCCCTTCCCCCCCGCCAAAGGCACTGGCACATGCCCCATGAGCACAAGGCCAACCAAAGAGGAGGTGGTAGAGCCCAGCCAGCCCCCGTGCTGACCTGGGGCGAGTGGGATGCCCCCCCCCCCCATGGACCTACAGGAAATCTCCTGTGGTCTGGTGCAGGGCTAGCTGTAGTCTGGCTGCTGATTCCTCATCTCTTCCTCAGCCGAGCAGGCTGGGGAGGGGAGAGGCAGCTCAATAGGAGCCAGCTGGGAGCTGTGCCGTGTGGGGTCCTCCCTCTGGGTGGGGCCCCAAAGACCCAGCCTCTTCCTTTCACTGCTGTGTTTTCTACTGGGAAGGGTAACGCTGAGGTGGGATTGTGCTGAGAGTGTTTTCTCAGCCAGTCTGTGCTGGTGTGTATGGGGGTTTGAGGGGGGAGTTCATTGTATTTTATTATTTAGCATTTTGAATATTGTTGTATTAAGTAACTTGGTTTCATTTTAAATTGCTCTGCTGTTAATATTGTATTTGAATTTGTATTTGCTATGAGCATAGTATTGTATTTATATTAGTTTTGTATTTTGCTGTTATAAATTTTTGATCAAGTATTCTTGAAAAGAATCAACAGCAGATTTTGTAGTAGCCTTACTTGAATTACATATTGTGCTCTAAAAATTCAGTTGTATTCAATTACATTTAATTTCAACATATTATTCTTTTAATGGCATTTTTACTGCTCAGCTTCTCGTTAGTTTAGAGAATTTTCATTTTTTTGGTACTGTATTTAAAAATGAATATACAAAATACTATATTATGTATATAATGCTTTTATTTCTGCCTCAATGGTCCCCAAAATAACTTTCCTATTTATGTCAGTCCCCAACTGTAAAAAGGTTGAAAACCACTATTCTAGATCATCTAGGGGTTGGTGCTCATGTTTATTGTTTATCCGAATATACTCCTAACTCAGAAAAACTATGAATTGGATTAACTGAATATGGGTCAAAGCTCATACATTTCACCAATGGTCTTTGAAGTAAGAAAGAAGGCTGCTTTGGATGCTTGTTCTCAAGGACTGCTGGGTGGGTTTCAGAAGATTCAGAATCAGAATATAAAACAGAACTGGGAGGAGTCTGGGGATGTGGGTTAAGCCAAGACTCTGAGATGAGATGAGCAGAGATGCTTATCTCAAGGCTGGACTCTCCAGGTGGCCAGCCAGTCCCTGGGAATGACCAAGATATACAGCTGGTGGAAGGTGACCCAAAGCAGAGGAGTTTCTTAGTCATAGACCTGGCAGCCCCAGCTCTTGACCTCATGAAGTGGTGTCAGCAGAGGAGGGTGGCCCAGTTAGAGGGTCAGCATTCACAGAGGAGGTGTGCTTGATTTTGCAAGACCCCTTGCAAAGGGATGGGGCCCAGGCACACTCATACGGAGAATTCCTGAACGTGATTACTAGACTGGGTTCAACAAACTGCTCTGTGCATGCTCTGAGATTCATTCTGGGTATTTTGTGCTTTTTGGTCATTTTCCAAGGAAAATGGTCTGTGGCTTTTGAATGTGGGAAGGAGGAACTCCAGTTCATGGCAGTCCTGGTTTTATTTATTTATTTATTTATTTTATTTAAAACATTTTTATGCCGCCCCCATCGCAACGAAGCTTCGGAGCGGCTCACAACATTACCGTTGTTATAGTGATTTTTGTGTCATTGTTCATGATATTATTTTCAACTTTTATGAAATATGCCTTGTAAGACCAAATAGTTAACCATCAGCAGTTGCACTTGAAGATCAGGTAATTGCATGTATTACTGCCAGCTGTGGATACAACTGATATTTGAATATCTACAAATGTGTTTTTCTGTAGCTGCTAACAGGACCATCATTGTTGTTTTGTTTTGTTCGGCTTTGCATGTGCATGTGTACTTTCTCTGTACAGATATTTTAAAAGCAGACTGCATAATACACAATATGTATTATTGTACACTTTAAGGTGCTATGCTAATTGAATGATATAGAAATGCCAATAGTAGTAGTTGTTGCATCTCAGATTCATGCAAGTGTTTGCAGTTGATTACAAATGGTTTTATAATAAATGCCATATTCTTGGTAAACAGGTGTTTGTTTTGTTCAGAGAACATTGTGTTGCACTAGTACTGAAGTATCTGAGTCTGAGTCCTCTGATTTGCTTTCCTTATGGAGCAATACAGGGATGTTTACTTTTTATGATCAGTGTTAATAATTCAGTATGCTATTTGACTTGGATATAATATAGATATCCTACCCTACTACATTGTCCTTGCAGTTACCACACACTTGGCAATATAAGATGCATGGGCTATCTTTGACTCCATTTGCAACATTTTTAAATTATTTATGGGTTTCAAAAATAAATAATCTGAAATCAAAGAAATACATAGCAAAAGGCTAAATCTAATGAGACCATACTCTTCCTAGACATTGATTGAGGGGCCATAGCATGTTATAGCATCACAGTTCTGAGGATGGATCCAGCATTCTGAACAAGGGGCTAGAATTGGAACTCTGCCTGCTCTCCCACACCTTCATGTACCTAACAAAAAAAAAAAAAAAAAAAAAAAAAAGCACTTCCAGCTCCCTAAGTTTGGAAAAGGCAACAGTTAAGGGGGTGGGGATGGAAGGAGTTCTGGAGGCCAAAATATATCGTATCCTGAAGCCACTTTAGCCTCTTTGCCTTACTTAGTCAGATGAACCAATATGGAAAAATAAGGAGTAGAGGAATAGGGTGGTGAAGATTGCCTTTCTGTCCTTCCACTCTGCATTGAGTGCCCCATAAGTCTCCAAATTCAAGGGCTTATTTGTGGGATTTTGGGTAGGATCATGTCCTTAAAAGACAAAATAGCAAGGTTAAAACTAAGTTAAAAAGATGTTTCTTGACCCCCTTCCTGAATGTAGAGAGAGTGGGGACTAGTCACATCTTCAAAGGGAGAAGGTTCCAGAGTAGTGGAACAACACAGTGAGAAGACATTCCTATATGGGGCTCCGAAAGCAGGGTTATCTTTGAAAAAGCCTTTCTTATTAGCAGGCTCATACCAAGATGTATGTCAAACAAGTGGGCCCCAAACCATTTCGACTTTTAAAAGATAGAGCAGTTTATTAAGAGTCATGTGTTACTAAAGTAACATTTTTGCTTTATTCTGAATGCAGAAAAGCAAGGCTTCTATATGCTAACAGGTGTAATATGGAGTCAACCATGTTTTCCAGTTGACAACTTAAAAATAATTGTTTGATTAGCAGAGGACAGAATAAAGAGTTCTTCGTGGGTATTCTTGCTGACATCTGAATTAAGGTACCTCATAATAATAGTGATTTTGAATTTTGAGAGTGTGATTACCCTAATTTTAATAGAAAAATTAACAATAGCAGTATGTTATGGCTGAAGATATTGGCTAGCCCTGTTGCTTGTACTGCAGCTGGGGTTCAGCATGTGGAAGGAGTCTCTCAAGTCTGACTGTTCTA